GTGGCACAAAATGGTTGCCACTTGGCATCCTCAAAGTGACCCCTCACGTGTTTGTGAAAAGACTAGTCTCTTCAGCTCCCTGCAAGCACATTCTCTTCGACGACGTCACCAGGTCAATATTCAAGCAAGAGCCTCGTCGACATTTTCTTCATCCTAAGAACAAGTTTGATCGATACAAAACACACTTCTCATCTCCGAGGAGGTCCTGCGTGACCCACAATCGACCATATCAATGTTACACACATGCGCGTCCCCAAAGTTTTTCACTCAATAAATAGCAATCTCAAAGACCTCCCCGCAATGCGGTTCCTGCCCCTTGGTCACACAAGCTATGCTAACTCAAGTCATTACTCCTCGCCTCGAAGCAACAACTTAGGGGGCTCCTGTTCTGGACTAGACTGGAACCTTCCCCACAGCTGGGCAAAGCCCAATCCAGTCTAGCTTAAGGCCAGGCCCAATATGACCATAGGGCATAATATAGTCGTTGAGCACAATATAGCCGTTGGAGCACATAGCCTTTGGGGACGTGCCTCTCACGCGCTTGACAGTTCACGCGACCAACTGTACCGTCAAAAGTCACGGAGACAGTTAAACCAGGTCAAAGATCACGCACTAGATCTTCCACCTAGCAGTCCCCCATTGGCCAACCAGATATTTTGGTTACATGGGAGACCTTGGCCCCGCTTTGGGGGGAAAACTTATAAATACCCTATCTCTTGAGAGGGCTAGGTATTCTAATCATTCTTGCTCATACCTAAACACTCATACTTTCTTTCTCTCTTTAGCCTAAACACTTACTTTGGCATTGGAGTACCTTGTAGGTACAACCCCCTCCTCTCCTACAACCATTGTTGTTGCCTTACATTGAAGGCCAAGACGATCCATTCTGATCACTCCAGATCAATTTGGATATAGCAAAACCCCTTAACTATAATGTGTTGGTTGAGAGAAAGGGCTTCACATTTTTTTGCAGGTATTGAATACGAAAGTATGCCGGATTTTTGTTTACATTGCAGGAAAGTGGATCATTCTGTGAAGAACTGCAAAATGTTTAACAAACCTCTGAACAACTCAACTTTTATGTAGAAAGAAAATACGGTTAAAAGGAGTGTTGATTTGGTTAATGAGGTTTTAGAGGCCTACATTGTTGCTACATAAGTTTTGAATTAAGATTTTGACCAGCCTGATATTCCTAATGTTCCTTAGTATCCTCCTAACTTTGTGTCTCAACCGTCGGTGGAGTCAGACTCTTCTTTGGACTGTGTTACTGCAACCGTGAAAGATCGGCAGATTATTCAATTTGCTTATTGTTATACCCCAAATTTTTGACCCCTAGATTCCATTATCATCCTAGATGCATCAAACATATGTTATCTAACCCTAACCTCTTTTAAGTTAGTCTTTGTTAAGATGCAGATGAATTAGAGTTTCATACTGTTAAAATCAAGAATCCTGTGGATTGATCAGTCAAAGTTTTAGATTGATCTCCTACATATTAAGTCTTCAAACCATCAAGAGGTTCATATCTTACCAAGAACAAGTGTTATTTGAGGTTGTTACCAAGATAATTGAAGCAGTGATGTGCAAAATCCTGATTAGGGTTTCTAGTTGAAAAAGTCAACTGTAGTTTGACTTCTGGTCTAAATGGGTTTCCAAAGCTTGAACCATGGTTCATGATGTTTCTATGACTTATTGAAGTCCACTCAAGAAGTATGAAAGGTTCAAAAAAACCCATAACACTAAGGATCGATCCTGAAGATTTCAACTGTTCGGTTCGTCTGTTTGGAAAGTCAACCCTTTGACTTTTAGGGTTTTGACCCCAAAGTGAAAAAATCAAGGTTTCCAACATCATGTTATGTCTAAATAGTGAGTTTGTTGAAGATTTAATCAAGAATTGTTGGATAACTTGTGAATCAAGAAATTAGGGTTTATGAAAACTCTAATTACAAGCTTATTTGGAATGGTCATAACTCTCAAACCACACATCCAAATTGAGTGGTCCAAAGCTGGTTGGAAATCTCTTGAGAAATCCTACAAAAGTGTCCTAGAGGTTTGATGTCCTAAAATATATAGATTTTGAGTTGTGAGCTCATCAAGTTGTGAAGGATTTTCATACTTAGAAAAATTTCTTGTTTCTTGACTTGTAAGTTAAGTTTTTCAGCCAACTTCATGAAGATTTTTGACCTAGTTCCCTTTGGAATATGAACTTTGGACGAACATGAACACTGTAGATCATATTTGGGGATTTTTTAAAATTACAAGATCATTTTCATGGCCTTTTTGGTTAGGGAGAATCGAAGAGAGCAAGTTAGGGATTTTTCATGTTACAAAACTAAGTTCAGCACTTGCATTTTGATGCATAAACCACTCAAAACTCTTATAACCACTTGTTTAACTCATTCTCTGATGTTTAGGGGCTTAACTAATGAGATTGCAAGGGATTACCACGAGCAAAAAACCAGAATTGGATTAATTAATTTGTTTATTCAAGCAAGTGGATGCAAGTGGCAAGGAGAGAGAAACTTTTTGCATTTTCTGCTACACCTCAGCTACTGCATCAGCTACTCCTTTTCTTTCACTTCATGTCAACTATTTTCAGGCTATTGATGATGTTGAATATTTTGGCAGTAATCACTGGGTTTGGTATTGGTACAGATTCTTTAATTTATCTTGGGGTTCCTTTGTTCAAAGGAAGGCCTAAGGCTAAGCATCTTCAATCGATTGCGGATAAGATTATCCTTAAGTTTGCTTCTTGGAAATGTTCCCTTCTTTCTTTTGTAAGTCAAGCTGGTCAAGACCTATATTCAGGGAATGCTTATTCACTCAATGTCTATCTATGTGTGGCTGGTTTCTTTAATTAGAAGTATTGAAAGAGTAGCTCGGAATTTTATTTGAAGTGGGGATGTGTTGAAGTGAAAAACGGTTACGGTAGTCTGGAAGAATATTTGTTGTCCGGTTTCAGAAGGTGGTCTTGGGCTTAAATCCTTGGTTTCTTTGAATGAGGCAACTAATATTAAGCTTGGTTGGAATTTTTTCAACTTTGAGGAACAATGGGCTTCTCTTCTTAAAAGTCGAGTTTGGTTGAATAATCGTTTCATTAAGTATCATATTTCCTCGGTTTGGTCTAGCATCAGAGTTGTGATACCGCTTATTTGTGAAAACTCCTCTTGGATTCTTGGTAATGGCAATTCTATTAGTTTTTGGTTTGATAATTGATGTGATCATTTTTTCTTGAAGATGGGTTCGGTTTCGGTGCCTAAAGATATGTGGGTAGTTCTTTCATTATTGATCGAAGATGGGATTTTTCGAATGTCTCTATGATCATCCCATATTCGATTCGGGACAGAACTCAGAATTGCTCTATTCCTTTTGACCTTCGTCCGGATAAAAGGATTTGGAAGCATTCTTCTTCGGAGGAGCTTATGCTCAAAGATGCTTATGACTTAAAGTGCTTGCCTAGTGTTCAATCTGATTGGTGGAAGTGGATTTAGGCTAAGTCTATTCTGTTGTCTAAGTATTTTATGGTTTGGCATTTATTGTTGTCTAAACTTTCTACGGATGATCAATTGAAGCGAAGGAATTTCTCTTTCCCTTCTAGATGCAACCTTTGTTTGGTAGAGGAAGAAAATGTCACTCATCTCTTTTTTGAGTGCTCTTATGTGTCTCTTCTTTGGCATTAGGTTGTCCAAAGCGTTTAACATCAGTATGCAGATTGAGAATTTGGAGGATATTTGGTGTATTTGTGATTGTAATTGGTCGGATCAGTGTAAGTTAATTTTTAATGTTGTTATTCATCTGATGAATGTTGTTTGGTTTGTTAGAAACAGAGTGAGATTTAGAGACAAGAAAATTTTCTACTTCGACCTCTATCTCTGGTATTATGTTGGTTTATGGTTTGGTTGGCAATAACTTCAAAGTCACTTTTCAGCCTCCTTGTGCTCCAAAGTTTTTGGAAGTGATTTGGAAACTGTTTCCGTGGGATTGGATCAAGATCAATTGTGATGGTGTTTCTTTAGGCAATTTGGGGCCTTCAGCTTGTGGTGGTATTGCTAGAGATTTTGATGGTAGGTTTCTTAGAGCCTTTGCTAATTTTATTGGGGTTTCCACTTCTCTCATTACCGAATTCAGTAGTACTATGTTAGCAATTGAGTTCGCTCATGAGAAGCATTGGAGAAATCTTTGGTTAAAAACTGACTCTTTGGCAATAGTGCATGCTTTCAATCCTTCATTCAAAGTTCCTTGGCAAATTCGTTTCGAATGGGTTAATTGTATGAATATTAATGTGAATATGTCTTTTGTGGTCTCTTTTGTAATCTCCCATATCTTCGAGAGAAATAGTTGTGCAAACTCGCTTGTTAATTTAGGACTTTCGATCAATACTTACTCTAACTACACTTCAATTCTTAATTTTCTAGAGAGTTGATTTTGCAAAGAATAGGTTTGTTTTGTATTTTTTTAGGATCATTAATTCTTGAGAGGGTTTTGGTTCAGTCCCCTCCATTTAGTATCAGCTCTTTTTTAGTGTTATTTAATCTTATTAAATAAAAGAATAAAAAACTATCACTGGTGTAGTTTTAGTAAGCAAAAGCAGTGGCGTTAAAATCCATTTGATTGAAGAAAATGAGAGATATACATTGAAATATGCAAAACCTACTACATACATCTATTACATTTGTTGAAAGCCAAATCTCCACTTGAAGAAAAACAAGAATTACATACAAACCATAGCAATAGCCAAGATCATTGAGAATTGAAGTTAGGACCACAAAGCCTTCAGAATTGTTGAAGACAAAGATATCCTTAGATGGTTGCTTTCACCTTCAAGACAATGTCAAAACAACACATTCAACTCTCTCATCAATGTCTCATTCGATACAACGCTCTTCTATCAACAAAGCCGACAAAATTGCAGGTTAAACGAGAAAAGCTTCACGATAAGCGGCATCAAGCCAAGTTGCGCGCTCCTTCACAAATTGAATAAGGCTCTCAAACATCTTCTATTATGTTCTTTGAAGAACGAGATTTAGCTCCATCGAAGATTTCGCCAATAAACCACCCTTCCTGCATCAAAATAATCATAGGCACATTATACCAGAGATTGTAAATACTTATCACTTGGCAACACCAAAGTCGACGAGATTATTACCGTATGAGCATTGGAAGAGTTGTTTGAATTTTTTGCAGTTCCATAAAGCACTCGTTACAGCATTCCCTCCTGTCATCAAGATATCATACAATTTAGATTCGTCGACGTGAAAACTAAATAAGACCGAGAGGAAAATAAAGTGAAAACGAGACACACCTTTGCTCTCGGTGCAGATCAACCCCGACTGAAGGAGGTGCTGAAATGGTTGCCTTAATTGTCGAACCAAAAACTGCCACAAACTTTAACAACATATCTAATGACACCTTTACATGTCTGCAAATCAAGAATCGAGTTAATGACTCATAGACACAAGACTATAATTTTTTTATGATGCGGTTTGAGCTCGCACGTTGACGTAAAAACAGTTCCCACATTAACTCCAGCCATGAAAAATTACCTTTCTGTCTTGCTATCTAGTAAACCTGTGAGCACAGGAAGTAAGGAAGAAAGTAAATCTAATGTAAGAATCTCCATCTTTTCCATAAGGATACTAATAACATCGGCTTGAACCTGCATATTGGATATGAAAACCATTAATTTCTAGTCCGAAAATAGAAACCACCAATATATAGAACATAAACAAGTCAACAAATGGTTGTGCCACGTGTCGACTTCAAGAGATACTCACGGATTGATCTGGCAGTTTTCTCAATGCATTGATAGCACCTTTGATATCATTGCGTTCCCAAAAATGTCGCACCACCTACAAATACACATCACAACTACTAACCAGTAAGCAATGTTTTTCGATTTCTGTCATTGTTTTCTTTACAAACAAAAATAAATAATAATATTAACGACTAACTAAAACTACCTGTAATTTTGTCAAGCGTGAACGGAGATTACTTAATGTTGCATCATGAGTTTCCATGAGACCTTCGACTATTGCCATTTCATTTGAAGAGTTTGAATCCCTTTGAGAAACTTGAGGTTCAACTTTCTGAAAAAAATTGTATAACAGAATAAACATGACTTAGTTATAAGTACCTGAAAGCAACAAATTATGAAAATGAGAGAGCACGATTGTGTCTAATCTCTCACATTCTCTCGTACCGACATTTCATATTACTAAAACGTACAAGCTACAGTGAAACCTGTTGTAAAATTTTACCATTATGTCTGGACGGGAGGATTCGTCGATGTTAGATGTTGTGTTAGGAAGGGAGGGAATATTGTTTCTATCTTCATTGCGGAGAATTCTTTCTTTCCTCTCAGATACAATGGCGGGAGATGCATTAGTTTGAACTTCATTGTGCAGAATTCTTTCTTTCCTCAGAAAAACGGTGGAGTGGGGTGCCTTAGTTTGAACTTCGTTGCGGGGAATTCTTTTCCTCTCAAATACTGTGGAGGGAGGTGTATTAGTTTGAACTTCACTACGGGGAATTCTCTCTTTCCTCTCAAATACCGGAGAGGGGGATGCGTTGGTTTGAACTTCACTGCGGGGAATTCTCTCTTTCCTCTCAAATACGGTAGAGTAAGATGCATCAGTTTGAGCTTCACTGCGGAGATTTCTTTCTTTCCTCTCAAGTACCTTAGAAGGGGATGCATTAGTTTGAACTTCGCTGCGGGGAATTCTCTCTTTCCTCTCAAATACTGTAGTTTGAACTTCACTGCGGGGAAGTCTTTCTTTCCTCTCGAATACTGTAGTGGAGGATGCATTAGTTTGAACTACACTTCGAGGAATTCTTTCTTTCCTCTCAAATACCGTAGAGGGCAATGCATTAGTTTGAACTTCATTGCGAGGAATTTTTTCTTTCCTCTCAAATACCGTAGAGGATGATACATTAGTTTGACTTTGAACTTCATCACGGGGAATTTTTTCTTTCCTCTCAAATACCACAGCGGGGGATGCATTAATTTGAACTTCATCGCGGGGAATTTTTTCTTTCCTCTCAAATACCGAGGAGGGGGATTCATCTGTTAGACCATCGTCGCGGAGAATTTTTTCTTTCCTCTCAAATACTGTCGCGGGGTATGCATTAGTTTGAACCTCATCGCGGGGAATTTTTTCTTTCCTCTCAAATACCTCAAATACCGTAGAAGGGGACTCATAAGTTTGATCTTCATCACGGGGAATTATTTTTTTTCTCTCACATACCATGGAGGGAGTTGCACTAGTTTGATCTTCTTTGCAGGGAATTATTTCTTTCCTCTCAAACACCGTTGTAGGGTACGAATTAGTTTGATTTTCATTATGAATACTTCTCCCTGCTTCGCTTATTGTAGGGAGAGGTGGATTAATTTGATCCTCATTGCCTTGAACACTTTCTCTTCTTTCGAATCTCTCGACCAGAGAACGAGTCCTTCCTCTTACAACAGCAACTGCAATAATAGAATATTAAAATTTTCACTTTTCAGCAGCTCGAAACATTTCTAAATCACATATATTAAAAATCGCGAACCTCCATTGACATATTTAACTGGAGTAATTTCTTCGTTGCCTGTAGAGGACTCAACACCTGAAACCAATCCGAAAATTACATAAGAGATTAAGAGAATAGGATAAGGAAATATAACATGTGATGACACGGAAAACTTACGTTTTGTCAGGTTAAAGAAATTGTATGGAGACACAGTTTTGTCAGACTTGTCTGTGACATTCTTGATAGGATGTTTATCTTCACAAGATTCTTTGGCTTCATTCTGAGATCCAATACCACTTTGAAACTTAGGAATTTCCGCATTGTCTAATTTACTTGCGGTATCTGAAAACTTATCAACATCAAATCTGCCCGTGGAAGCTCTTCGGGCATGAGCTGGTTTAAGTAACATCCCAGGCTTTGTCTTTGAAAAAGTGATGGTTTCTTTGACAGGTTTTGTTGAGTCCTTAGCATCAGGAATGTCTTGCGCTACAATGTTTTGCATAATGAGAGTTTTTATAGTCGCTTGTTCATTTGATTTTACATGAACTTTTGTCGCAGGATTCTGCTTCGCCGTTTCCAAGTCATACATTTCCTTGGATTCCTCGGCGAGATCTACTTTTGCAGAATTAAAAGATGCTGATTTCGGTAAAGCAACGGGCTTCCCACCAGAAGCTATATACATTAAAAAAAATAGCATTTATTAGATTCGGCGTAACTAATTAACACAGAACTCCAAATTTCAAAGAAAAACTGAGGAAAGACAAATTTGTGGCTTACAGTCGATATATATATTCTTTATCTCTTTCGACTCATCAGGAGACATACTGCGAAAACCAGAAGTTGGTTCTATATCAACCTCTACTTTTTCAAGTTTACTTCCCTTAAGAATATGTTTATGCTTTGTGCCTTCATCTTTCTTGAGATCCAAGTCATCCCCGTACGGCTCAATAAGCTGACACAGAAACAATCTTCGTTACATAATAATTCGAATGCCGAATATAAATCTAAATTTATATTTATAGAAGAAAGATTGTGTTTCAAGTTAAAAACAAAAAGTGAGAACTGATCTAAATGATAGTGGGTCCTACCGATATATCTGCTACCCAAACTCCAACAGAGTTCCGGTAGTGTGAGCACCCCAAAAGTTTTCCGTCGTGAATGCAGATATCGTCAAGTGTTGTCCATCCCATATCAACCGTGTCATGACAAATAACAGGCTCCCATGAAAACACCTGCAATATACGAGCTTTGCAAAATGACTCATCTTTATCTTTATTCTGATACATGTGATGCATTATTTATTCTTTAGCATAAATATAATCAAAATTTCACAACAAATTTTTACCCTCAAACCATCTTCGTGTCCACTAAACAGTGTCCTTCCATCAGGATGAAAAGCTATCGCGCGTACTCCTGTGTCCTAAAAAAGTAATAATATTTACTTCAGATAAGTTCCTTCAAGCATAAGAAGAAAGATTCGGCCGGTTATAAATACCTCACGTCTAGCAGAACCAATGAGTTCAAAGGTTTCTAAATCCCAGAATTTCACTGTTTTATCTGCTGAACCTGTAAAACAGTATTTGAACTTCAATAATTGTTTTCCGATAACTTCATAGTTTTTTTTTCAATAACTTATTAGTTATACATGCAAACAAAATATGTTAGCAGAATTTAGATAGAGAAGGCACAGATATTACAAAAAGTAACACATTGAGTTGTCAAATTTTTACGCGATTTCAATCACGTTTATCTTAATGCTCTTGATTTTTCTATTAATATAAATTACACATAAATAGCGATTTCTATTCTAGGCAAGATTTAGTTAAGGATTTGCTAATGAATTAGGATGTGAAAGATATATCCGACCTAGATGAAGTTCGAGTTAGAATTAATGTAGGTGAACTCTAAACCTCGGAAAATTTAAATTTCATAAATTTGATTTAACATTTATTTTTCCTGTTTGAATTTATATTTACTATTCTTTTCTAACTAGATTACCAAAATCTTTCATTAACTTGAATTCTATATCGTATTTGAAAGTCACTAAATTACCTGTAGCCAGAAGAAACTCGAGCGGATGGAAATCTAAGGACGTAATGTGTCCGTCATGGAAATTGAAGTCATGCAAGAGCTTTCCAGCAGTTAGATCCCAAACCTGTAAATCGGCCATAAGGTCACATATAGCTTATAGATACAAAATTATTAAAAAAAAAAAATCTATTGCAATGTGTACTACGACGAATCTCTAAATGTATGAATCATTTTACCTTCACAACATTATCTAATCCACCAGAAACTACCCATCGGCCATCCGGAGTGAATTTGATTGTATTGATGCCTTGGCTATGACCCTTGTATGTATGAATGCATCCTTTTTTCCGATTATCCCAAATCTTTAGATTGGTGTCCGTGGACCCAGACGCAAAAAACTCGCCGAACGGATGAAACTCGACAGATGTACAATTGGATCTATGCCCGGCAACAGTGCGAACCACTATACTTCAAGAACAGTGACAAAAATATTAAATCATATTAACAAATTTCGAAACTTTAAACTTAAAAAGGTACTTATGGATTCTCCTACAAGGTTATGCATGAACTTACTCTTTGATTCTTCCAAGTCCCAAAGCCTTATCACACCCGATGACGATCCAGCCAGAACCAACACTTCTCCCGAATCAAATGCAACCGATTCAACCGGACTAGTATGACCAGACAGGCTCTGCATATAATTACAATAAGTCAGCATTGTTACGCCACACGCTCAAAATGCTTAAAAAACAAAGGCAGTAATAGCACTGACCGATACAGAGGTTGGTTTGCCAATAGTCCATAGATTGACCTTATGATCATCCCCTCCCGTTACGAATAGACGACACCCCTTCTTTCCGATCGTTAAACAATTGACATTGCTGGAATGAGCCACAAATTCCTCTAAAGTCGATTGGCTCAGGAAATCACATTATCAACAAATTCACTCAACAACTTACAAAATCAGATAAACATGAAAATCAAAGATTCAGCACCTTCAACAAATTGAAAATCACTACAAATCCAGAAATCAAATGCACAACACCTTGAAAGCTCCCATTAACTTCTGTAACAATTTCATACTAAAATACAGATAATTAATCAACAAAAACAAATTAAAAAATAAACTTTTCACAGCAACTTCAAAAATCAGAAAACCAAAAGGTCCAAAATAAAGACACACCTAACCTAGATTTCATTAGAACCACCTAAACTTTTCATCTTTTCCAAAAAAAAATAAAAGTTGAACCAGTTCCAGATAAACAATTTCTACAATCATAACAATCTATTTATTTATAGAAAAAATAAATAAATAAAGGATACGTATTTTATAACCACGTTTTGCCATTTTTTGTTGGGCACCTCCGAAACCAGCTTCTTGAGCTGAAAAGAAACAACTTTCTGGAAAAAAGAACCAATTGATGACTTGGGTCGACTTCAAAAATGACTCTAGCTGCTTCCTGCTTCTGGTTCTACTTCTGCTTCTTCAAAACGCGCGATTCAGAAGCAGATTATTTATTAGGTAGATGGAAAATGAAAAGTGAAAAATGAAATCTTTTGCAGAAGTTAGGAATTGGGTTGGTTATGTGAGAGAGGGAAATGGTCTGAAAATAATATAAAAAGGGGAATAAATCAGATTCAACTCTAGGAACAACTATGATGAACTCAGAAAAAGAATAGATTTATTTCTTTATTTCTCTTTCCTTTTTATTTTTCCAATGATAATTATTTAATTTTTTTTTATGTTTTCTCTCTCATAAATAAATAAATAAATAAATATACTACCTTTTTCTCTGTGTTTTTCTTTTATTTTTCTTTTTATCTATTTTAGCACAAAATTATTTATATTTAGAGTTACCAAACGTGTAAAAAACAATTTGAAAGGTGGAACCAAACATAGTTGTAATAAATGTCTCTTTCAAACTTTGAAAGTGATATCACAAACTAACGTTAAGAAAAGAATAACTTAGAAAAAATATTTATAATGATTTTTAAATCATATTTATGATCTAGTAACTTATTTATATAAACCAGTGCTTTTTACAGGTTAGAGGATCAAATGACATAGATCATGATTTTGGTAAAATTGTGATTATATTGTCAGTAATAAATTGTGATTATTATGATTTTCTTTCTAGAAATCCTTACTAGCTAATTAAGGTGTTTAACACTCAAGTGACATTACAAAAAAGTTCTATATTTTAATTATTTAAATTTGACTGAATATATAAAAAAATTAATCAATAAAAAACGTTTTACAAGTGTATTAAGAAACATGTTGTTGTGAAAATCATGCATGTTAATTTTGAAGATCATTTCAAAAAAGTATAATTAGGTAAGATTAGGTCTTAAGTTAACTAAAATATTTGGAAATAGATTTTTTTTAAATGTGAGAAATAAAATAAAAAACCATAGTACTAAACAAAGCTTTACAATTGTTCCATCAATTTCTAAAAATTATTTGTTTATATGCACAAGTTGATCCAACGGTTTAGATAAATAAACTCAATGACTCGTATAGTACTGGTTAATTCAATATCAAACATTGAGATAAGATAAAATAAGAGAATATAAATAATTTTAATCCAATTTGATTTATTGTGATAAAATAGCAACTCTTTTATTTACTATTCTTTCAATAATTTATACAAGAGATTATAAAAAATTTAAAAGAACTTCAAGAAATTTTCTCTCTCTCTCTAAATTTTCTTATTAAGATTGTCACACTTTTTCCATTGTCTTTCAAATTTTATTACGATGGTTGTTCCGACAAAAATGTTACTAATATATATATTTATAAGTAGTGAAATCTAAAAATTATATAATATTTCTAAAACATGACTCATTAATAAAAGAATTTACAAATCGAAGCAACCAAATTTGAAAACCACGAATTACTCGAGTCGAATCTTCTACCCAACGAACTCGGCCTGTCGACATTGGTTCCGGTGGGACCCATCAGCAACTTTCTAGTCGGTCATTGGACTGCCACCAAATGGCTTCGTCGATTTTCTTGTTGTTTTTCTAGCATTTCTATTTCACGCAATATCAAAATATGTTTTCTTCCTCTTTATTACTTGAGGTTTTAAGGCACTTGTACAATTCTCCACCTTGACTTTGAATTGACAGTGATGTCAATTTACCCATCAACCGCCTTACTACTTTCTACCATGTTGATATCATTATTCAACAACCTTGATCGAGTTAAAGTCACGTTTGAACCTTGATCTTGTCATTTACTTCAGTCACTTTTTATTACTTCAGTAGTCTAACAACCCTAAAAGTATGGTTATTCAACCATTTTGACCCCGTTTGCTACTGAATGCCTCCTAAAGGTCTTTGATTTTTAGTTTTGCGAGCCTGCAACCATATTCAAAGAAAACAATCAAGGTTAGTATTAGCATATCTCTGATATGATGCAATCTCACTCCTTACCTTAGAAGCTCCATAGGCATTTGGAAGTTTATTCATGTTAATGGATACCTAATCATGTAAGTAATTTTGAAATCACCATTACCCTAGAAGCTCCATTACAAATCATCTCCTAACACCATGCCAGAAGTGGTAAAATGTGTTTTTATTCTTTGTCTTCTGCAAAACTCATAAAGTGCTCTAAAAGAGCCTCTAGACACATATCATGCCTTGACCTCAAATCTCATATTTTGCTCTTGTAATGAAGGATTTCACTATCTAATTATTAATGAACAACAACAACATTGAAATCTTCTCAAATATGTAACCCACATATTTTAAACCATTTATTCATGATCACTCTACCATGCAAAATCTTCAATGCCATGTTTTCAACTCTAGTGCAATAGCTAATATCATCAAACATGTTTATGGATAACAAATTTTGCCCAAGATCTGCAACATACCTATCATTGTGTAGAAGGAACTCACAATCATTAGACATTTTAAGTTCTATCATGTCAACACCATGAACTTTTCCAGTCTTATTGTCACCAAAGAAAACCATTTCATCTTCTTCCAGCTTCAAAGTATCAAATTATTATTTCTTGGGCATGTGTGATAAAAGTGTCCTGAGACCCTATCCTAACTCTTTTTAGTCTCCAAAGTCGACATCACTCTCATAATATCTTCATTTAAACTAACATCAATCTTAACAGAATCTTTATTGTCTTCACTTTTGGGACAATCCTTTTTGAAGTGTCTGATTTTTTGACAAATAAATTTTTTTACCTTAACTTGTCAAACTTATTGGATTTGGGCATTCCTATATGCTCGCTTCCTCCTCTTAATAAATTTAACTTCATCGTCGTCGTCAATCTTCAAATCATTCACCTTTAAGAATTCCTTGGAGTAAAATCCTTATCATAAAGAAAGGCATCCCTGAAGTACTCAAAAGATCTAGATAATGAGCTTAACAATAGTAGATTTTTGTCCTCATAATCAATCTTCACCTTAATATTTTACAAATCATCAATGATTTTGTGAAATTTTGTCAACTGCTACACTATATATGAATTTATTCTCTACCATTTTGAATAAGGAAAGTTGTTCTTTCAAACACAACGTGTGAGTCAAAGACTCGATCATATACAATGATTCAAGGTTTGCCCATATAGAAGTCGTAGTCTTCTCCTTGGAGACTTTCCATAGAACTTTATCTCCGAGGTACAAGATAATGACATTTATAGCCTTATCAACCTTATTGGTATTCTCTTATTATGTTAGGCGTTCAAGTATCGAGGTATCATCGTTCAAGGTTTCAATACACTTTTGTTGTTTTAAGCTTGATTGTACCTTTATTAACTTTTTTTAGATGTTATTTACTGATGTCAACAGGAGGATCTGAGATGTTTTGATGTATCGCAAATTATAGTTTGACACGGTAATTGTTGTGCATCTCCACAATTGTGAATCTGATGATCGGCACGCATGCAGTCCAAACGGAAGCATCTTTCTCTCTTACTTCATGTAGGTGTTCCATGTTTAGATATGGACGTCAAATGAACTGAAGAACAGAAAAATGTTAGATCATAAAATAGTTGATATAAAATATAAATTGATTTGTTTAGAGGCCTTACATCTGCAGGTGTTATGTGATCCAACAGATTGCAGTATTGAATGATACAATGTTTAGGACATCTATTGTAAGTCATACCCTTAGACGACCATCGAAACCACAAAAAAATCAAATTCAATTAGTTAGACACAATAATTAGGGAACCATCTGAGAATATTCTTGAGACTTCAACTTCTCAAACACCTAGCGTGAATCAACAACGAGGGGGAACGAGTGTAACGAATAAGGGTGCCTTTGGGATGTGGAACCGGTGGCTGGTATGACCCACATGGTCGCCAACATTAATTTATGTAATAGTTTATTTAATTAATGATAATGTTATTTATTTTTGGCAAACAATTTATAAAATGCACCCTGTCTCCAGATGAATTGGCGACTCTCCTTTAAGTCTAACACTAAGGTGTCAATTGAATTGGAGACTGCATGAGGTGTCTCCAATTCAATTGGCGACTGCCCTAGAGCCTTAAGAAAGCATCGCCAATTGATATGACGCCATCATGCTTTTAGAAATCTTAACTGAAATACTTTAAAAAAAAAATTTAAAAATAAGATATTTTGAGAATTTTTTTTTAAAAATAAATTATTTAGATAAAAAATTCTAATATAATTAAAAGAAAAATAACCCAAAAATAAATATTTCCTTCATATATTAATGTTTATACTTTCTAAAGTACTCAGTTATTAAAATTATTATCTCAAAATAGGAATTATTTGTTTTGTTTTTTAATTTCATTGCCACGGCTTATTATGTGGATCAACTCATCCAACTATCCTTTTCGTTTTCTAGGTTGCCATTGCAAATTACTAAATTACATAATATATCCTGTCTATTCGAGGGTGACGTGTCACTTCTCGTGGTATACTAGAACTTTACAATTTTTATATGTTAAAACATATTTGACATTTTTTTAAATGGACTAAATATATTACTTAAGTCTCATTAAGTCTCATTAAATAGAGTTAATTTTAAGGCATAATTAATTCTAAATTAGAGAAATCGAACATTCCAAAATAAATTTCATATTTTAAAATTAATTTTACACTGCAAAAATTGTGTCTATCTCTTACAAAATGAAAATCAATATTTTCCTTTAGAATTAATTTGTACTATAAAACTTATTGTTTAACTTCCTTTGTATAAATTTAACAAAACATAAATTATTTGATTTTAATTCACTTTTACCAAAATTAATTTTATAAAAGTAATTCACTCAAAATTAATTTTTATTACGGTAGAACTAAATATTCTGGAAAATTGATTATGATTAAAAATAAATTAAATATAATATAACTATAAA